AGGCACGTGACGCCAGCTCAAATGATTCAGCATCTGGAATTCAGTGATTTGAGATTCCGATTTACGACCAAGGTGGGACGCTGATCACTTCCCTCCTGTCGAGATAGATTCGTCCCGCCGGCAGATGACTCTGGGTACGTGCGGGCTTAAGTGCGCCAATCCAGAATTGAGATCTGTCGAGTCTTGACTCTGACTCAAACTGTGCTGTCACAAATGAAGGACTGATTTGTACCGTTGTAGCGAGAGGATGCAAAGAGACACGAATTGTCGCAAACCTCGCTTAGCTATCGTCTGGTGACGCGAGTGCCTCCAAATGGCCACGCGGTCCAAAAGCCGCTTATCAGAGCTCACGCCAACGCCAACGCTTTGCACTCACAACTCTCGACTCTTGACGTACGACACACTTCACGCACTTGTGAAGTCTCGACAGCTGCTTCCTCGCGGAGCTAAGCTAGATTCGAGCATTGAATAGACGAGGAGGGTCCCGAGTGCCGAGCACTTTACAGTCACCAAGTCAAAGTAGCTTACGTCGAATTTGAGGCCCTTTGAGGCAATTCGGTGCATCCAAGATATCAAATTTTGAGTCACACGCTTGCGTCTTGCGCTATGATTGTCTCGCTACCCTTGTGCCCATGCAGACGGCGCTTTCTTCGCTGAACCGATTTGTCTTGATCGAGCTGCTTGCGTTACGCCTCCAGCGAGGTCTGCCAAATCTTGACCCACTCGTCTGATGAGAGTCTGAAGGGCCTGATGGCATTCATGATTTTTGATTTGTGCTGTCCCGTCAAAGTCATGAGTGTGGCTAGGAAAGCTGGCTGCTGAATGTCCGTGATGGCACGTGTACGGCGCGGTGTGCTGAGTGCAAGACCAAGACCTTGCGCGGAATCGACAACATTCTCATCAGTCACTCACACTACACTACTGAATCGGGAGGAAGTGGGGGAAACCTACAGCAACACGTCACGAGTATGGCGCAATCAGCACAGCCCATGACCAACTCCGTCGCGCTCGCCTACGCCACTTCGTGTCACCATCACGCAAAGCAGGCCCCAGCCGGCGATTCCGATCAATTTCGATGCAAGTCGCTGCAGCAGTCTGTCAGTCGTGAGTCGAAATGAATGACAGATGAGCGATGGGCGAGACTGCATGCAGCAGGGCAGAAGAAGTCCAAGGGAGCAGCGCAGCAATCACATTGCTTAGCCTGCATGTATGTGCGCCCGTTCCCATAGCGTCTACCGTACATGATCTGCTGCACCGGTACGCGCAGCTCACGCACGCGCCTATCACACCATCCGCCCGCCCAGCAGCTCTTCTCGCTCTCAACCACAAGCATGCACTTTGCAGCAGAAGAGGAGCCACAGAGCGATGTCAGGCAAAGCGACCTCTTGCGAAGAGAAACGGCGCTGCGCAGGTCTAGCTACGCATCCTTGCAATCCTCGAAGGTCAAAACTCAAGCATCGCCTCGTCATTGTCTTCATTAGCTCTTCTCGAGGTGCATATACTCAAAGACGTCTGGATTCGCGGATAAGCACGCTCTAGCATGCCCGTCACATGAGCACTCACAAGTCTGCGATTGCGCAAGATGTATGCGTTATCGCTCATCCGTCTTAGCGGTCGGCAGGCGCGCACCAAGCGTAGCGTAGATCTTTCTCCACGCTCCTCCCGTCGCAACACTCATCTCCAGGGGCAGCGATGTTCCCTTGATTTCGCGCGGAGTCTCCAAGGCATCTTGTCCGCTCGACGAGCGTTGTCAAAGCGTCGGGGTCCCCGTCACAGCGCGTCAGTCAGCCAATCCAATCACGTCTGGGCAAGAAGCTCGCCAGCATTTCTAAGCGAGCCCGAGAAAAAGAGAGCTGCCTCGTGTTAGACTCATCAGGTCGCTGCATTTGGCACGATCCGACAGACAGACGCATCTCTCATGCTGCTGAGTCTGAACGATCGCCCATCCCGACTGCTAGCTCCTCATGTTTGCCTTCACAGCTGAGCGCTCGCTCCCCTTTCTGAACACTCACTTGTACTACCACGGCAGCTATGCATGTCGTTTTCAGGAGATGTCTGATCGCTGTGACTGCTTCCGAAAGCCGCTGGTTTGTGGTCGGGCGACGTGTTAGAATCTGTCTGCCGAGTGACTGGTATAGAATTCCTACTCTCCCTGAACAAGTCCCTCATTCCCTTTGACCCATACCGATCACTCCAGCAACACTTCCTCACTTCATCTCAAGACGCACCAGCGATAATCGGCGATACCTCGCGACCCTCAAGCCTTGCATCTGTGGTCGAAGCACCCCGTGGTCTGTCGAGACCTTGGAGCGCGTGCAGTCCAGTGCTTGGCGCTATCTTTGCTCCTTGCTTCCACGTTGCTGCTCCACCGCCGGCCGCACAAGGTACTACCCCACGACTCCAGGGACTCTTTCCCAAGCGAATGATTGCTAAGCATGGCTCGCACCGAGTATCTATGTCACCATTGTGGCAAAACGTGAGTGACTAGCCACTTTACCGTCCGAGCCTGACCTGTGGGGTAAGCAGTCTCAGAGTTTGGCTCACCTCAATGCGCCTCTCCACACTCCAGTTTTCGACGAGGCAATGGACTCACTAGACATGTGCGTATACATACGGGCGAGAGGCCGTATGTTTGCACGGTAGAGGGATGCACCATGGCCTACGCCAGGACCGACTTGCTCAAACGGCACCTCCTTTGCAACCATCTGGAGCTGGACGCCAAGGACTCCGACTCTCGGCCGGGCTCGGGGCGGTCTTCCCCAAAAGAGAAGACCACGTCTGATGTTGCAGAGCGAAGAGATTCCTCCACAAGCCAGAACAATTCGCTGCTCGACGGAAACCCCTTCAAGGCGAACGTCAACGGTGCGGAGCCTCCAGCTTTGCACATGTCCCTGAGTGGTGTCAACAACGGCCTGAACAGCACCAGTCTCTCTCGATTAGCCACACCAGCGTCCGGTGGAAGCACGACCTCTCCGTTCTCACCCCTTTCACCATTCGGCCCGACCTTTAATGCGCCGTCAGCACACTACCGGTTGGGCAAGGATGGCGACGCGTCGAGTTTCTTGGGTTCGTATGGTGTCAACGATGAGCTTTTGGCCAAGCTAATGCTGGCGGGCACCCCGAGTCACTTAGGCGACGCACCGACACACTCGGCGGCACGCTCCAACGAACTTCTCCAACATCCCAACGGAGATGCCGAAACCACGCGTTACGATCTCGAGCTCTACCTTAAACACTTTGCTCCGCACTGGCCTTGCGTGCACGTCGCGACGCTCGTAGCATCCACCAGCGCCATCCATCAAGACGTCGATCATGATCTGCTGGACGCGATCACACTAATCGGTGATCGCTACAACGCGGATGGGCTCTCGCCATCCGTTTCCAGACGGTCGTCCGTATACAGTCTGGAAGGTCAAGATACGTCGGAAGTCAGCATGCTTAGCAGTCGTGCCGTCCAGAGTCTGCAGTCCGGGCCTCATCATCTCGACGAGCACACGCTCTCGCGGCGCGCTCAGACGCTGCTTCTGTTGCAACTGTGTAGCCTTTTGAGCCAGAGAGACATGTCGCGCGGAAGCATTATCGAAGCAGCGCACGACTCGCTCATCCAGGCGGCTCGCCGAATACTCGTCGTGCATCAACAAGCCCCCACGCCATCGAACATGGGCACGGAGCAAGACTGGGTGCGGTGGGCTCAATGCGAGCAGCGCGTTCGGACAATATGGACGGTTTGTGAGTCTTGGCAATCCCTGTTCGCTCGCCGAACGATGATATGTGTCTGACGCTGTTCCGTATGTTGCAGACGCCTACGACGCATTGCGCGCCTTGCTGCTCCATGCAACGCCTGCTTT